TTGATTTGATTATATCAATTTGCTTTTAGGGACCTATGGTCGATAAAATTAGATCTGCTGTTTCTTCTCTTGCATTGTGACTTTTACAGGCTTTGATCAATAATTCGGAAGCAGCTTTCCTTTAACACATGGACACTCAAAATAAACTGAACTGAATGACATGAATATTAGTAAAACGTTCCTGGCTTTCCAAGCTGTGGTCTATTTTTAAATGAATGGACATGAATACCATCTCATTTGCCAAATATAATTTAATCATGCAGCATATTATGGTTATTGAAAGGTATGAATTCAAGTGAGGGTGATCTGGGCTTCAACCCCAGCTTTGCCATTTATTGGTTGTATGTCCTGACACAGGTTACACAGCCTGGCCAACCTTCCATCTGCTCATTGATAGGACAGTCACTAATAATACCCAAATCAACTTTCTTTGAGGATTAAAAACATAAATAATATCTTCATTTAAAAATTAGCCCAGTATCTGGAATGTACTACTGCCTCAATAACTGTTACTTTCATTATGGTTATTATTATTTATATTGTTCTATGATTTTGAAATACTTATTTTGAAAATTTCTGAATAAAGTCAGTTATGAATTTTTATATTCTAGATATTAAACTTTTATATTTGAGTGTATTTTTAAAGTATATAAAATTAAAATAATATTTTTAGTGTCTTCTTTTTAGGCTAGAACACTACCAAAAACAGCAAACAGGACGGTCAAAGCCAAAGCAGTGCCATCCCTTCAGAAAAATAGTTATCGCATTCTTTAAAACATTTTATTGAAGTAAGGTATTTGTAGCAAATTGTTATGCATATATTGGCAAAGCCATCAGGCAGAACAAAAAGATAGAAATGCTTTGTAAACTATTTCTCCCCCAATTAATAGTTAGAGGAAAGCTGAAGGTTGCTAAGAGCAGCAAGTAGAGGCATCTGATGTTGCTGACAAGACTCATGTGAGCAGCTTCTGGGTTTCAGTGCCTCCTGTTTTCCTTGGCAGAAATGGGAATATTATGAGGCAAGGTGCACTTAAATGATGAAACTAGAGTTTGTCATACAAATACAAATAATCTGAGGAGGACAAGTAAGGAGAAGGCCAATTCCATTTGTGCAAATCCTCTGGCCACCCTATTTCCACAGATAGGTCTGAGCAAAAGCACAGCAGTCATTCCTCTAGCACGAGGGTAATTACACTGAAAGGAACTTGTGTTTCAGTTGCTCATGCCCAGTGGTTCTGAGGGTAAATAGAATCAATCATACTAGCAACATAGCAAGTGCTAAATGAGCTCTTAATGAATTGAAAACAGACTAGAAAGCCAGCTATCAAGACATATTTGAGAACCAGAGCAGGGGAGGAGGGGAAAACATATCACAAAAGAAGCACAAGTTGCATTTATATCTCTTCGGCTGACTTGACATCCAATTTATTTTTTTTTAATTATGATGCAATATATTTCCATGGTGTAAAATTATAAAATGCAGAAAAGGAAGAAAGTGATTTAAAAAGTTAGAAGAATATAATTTCTCACAAAAACATGATTTAAAACATAATGTATTTAATTTCTTATGTGGCTCAGCCACTTTCTAGCCTTGTGTCAAGTGACTTAGTTTGCTCATGTATACAGTCATAATGCTTTCTTAGTGTCTAGATGCGGATAACTGGGATAAACTAAAGCCTTGACACACCTAGAATATAATAACTGAGTATCAACACTGGTAGGTTTAATATTTAAATATTATATTTTACAAATATATGTCTAGTTGTTTTTTCATTATATGGGTAACACCAGGTTTCTGAGGTCATTTCTTAGATATGCACTTTCACATCCTGTGTTTCCCATTTTTATCCTAAGTTCTTTCTAACATCAACAAAACTTCACAACTATGACATAGAATGGCTTCGTAACATCCATTATAAGAATTTACCAACTTTTCTTGAATTATCTCCAGTTGATGAAAATTTAGAGTATTTCATCTACTCTGTCATAAATGAGGCTGCATGAAGATTTGTCCATCAGCTTTCCATGAGTGATTCTTCTAATACCCTGAACCTTATTATCTCCTTACTTCCTCAGTTGTGTCACCTCCATCCTTTCTGTTTAGCCACATACCATGGCTACATGGTTTAAAACATTTCCTTGGAGTGGGGAGGGGCATAATAGATTCAGTTTTTCGTCCTGCCTCCGAATGCCATTTGGCCTCACTTGGTATTGATTTTTCTTCTGTAAAATGAGGGACCAGGTGATCTCTAGGTCACCCCCAAGCCTACTATTCTACTATTTTCTGTTTTGAAAATTTTTTATAAAGAAATAGGTATAATAAAAAGATCATGAGCTTTCAAGTCAGCAAATCCACTCATTACTGCTCCTCATTTATGTGACTAGATGCCAATAACTTGACCAGATGGCCTTCTAAATGTTAGTCACCCCCTCATTCTTACCAACATACTCTGTAAACTCACTGGGACTCTCCCCTCTTATCATTTTGAAACTCCAAGGCTGACAGTCATCCAGATGCCCCTCCCATTCAATCACTGCCTGTAGCCTGGAGTAATCTGGTCCCTACTTCCCTTTGGGGCCTCTGCTTAAGCTCTAGCTAACCATGCTGCAGCCACACTGGCCTTTTTTTTGTGTGTGTGTGTGGTCTTTTGTATGCCAACCCCTTTCTTATCAAGGACTTTTTACATTCTTTCCTCCCTCTGGTATGCCATTCTTCCCCAACTCATTGTATGACTACCTCTTAAGTCTTTCTTTGGTGGTAAAGTATCACCTCCTCAGAGAACTCTTCCCTGCCCACTTTGTAACTTAGCTTCTTATTGGTTCAGCCACTTCCCAACAATGATCTCAATTTTAATTTAGTTACTTATTTGCCCATCTATTCATTCATTCATTCATTCATTCATTCATTCATTCATTCATATATATCTTTATCTATACACTTGTCTCTCCTTTTAGCATGCCAGCTCCATGAAGGCAGGGCCTGCTGTTTTGTTCACCATTATATCACTAGCCTCTTCTATGCTATATGCCTGGTACTTCTGGTTTGCACTCAATAAGTAGCTTTTTTAAATAAATGAAGAAATTGTAGTTGGCCATATTTCTACAGAAATTCTACATAAACAATAATCAAGAAAAGAAAAAACAACAAAAGCCCATCTCAACCTTGTTCAAACCTGAATAAACTAAGAAATATCAGGAGTTGTTTAATATTCATGAAATGTTAGCTTTCTTCCTGCACAGTCTGCACCACTTTGTGTATGGTTAGAGCATCACTAAATAAGCCTTCAACTTGATAGAGGTGAACTACAGGGAATGGATTTCAAAAGAGATGAAGTGAGGACAATCATATCAATTCAGAGTACTGAGGTGATTTATGGATACAGACTATCTCTAGAATATATGCCACCCAGTTCCAGCTAGGTAGGTCCCTTATGATATTGCAGAAAAACACCACAGTTCTAGATGTGCTGTCAGTATAGAATTCCACTCAAACCTGTGGCTTTGAACAATGCACACATCTTTGATATTAATGTTTCAGATCCATGTGTCAAGAGAATTGCCATTTGCACAGAACCCCACTTTTCTTGAACAAAGTAGTAGTGTTTTATGTTTACATTAGGATTCTCTTTTTCCTTTTTTTTGCCCAAATTAGACTCAGCTTGTCTCTTCCAAAAAATTAATGCTCTTTGAAGTACTGCATTGGTTTTGATTTGTCTCTTTCTGTTATCAGTTGTAATTTAAAAGGGACAAAAATCAATACTGAACATAGGCCATTGTCAAACCACCATATATGGTCCACCTCATTAAAATCAGACCACAGAGACTAAAATGGACTCTAGTTTCAGGAGTTGACCATTGGGCATGAAAGTGTTTTTGTTCTGAGGTCAAAAAATTTCTTTCATGCTGCAAATTACTTTGCTTCCAGCCACTGTGTAAAAGACTGTGTATGTTTATCAAGGATTTTTGGATGGATCCTGCTATCTGTGCATGTGCCAGAATCTTTGAAGAGAGCATTGTTCTTGTGCAGTGAATTCCAGTTCAGGACAGAGAAGAACATGACAGAGAAGAACATTCCTTCTCAAAACAACCCCTTTAAAGCCTTCCTTGTAGTATTCTTATGCTGGGTTTGAACTTTGCTGTGTGTGCGTGTCTGTTTCTTCATCCTGACATCAGCCCCAGGGGTAACCTGTTCCTAGCTCATGTGCGAAATGTGTCAAAGGCTGATGTGGTTTCAGTTTCCACATCTTTCTCAGACGTTTCTTTGCAGTTCCCCAACTCTGTTGTTTTCACCCAGACAGCCTCAAGTCAGCGCCAGTTACAACTGAGATGTTACAAGGTTCAAAGAGGCAACCATTTCTGCTACCTCTGTAAGCATTTTATTTTCACCATAGATGGGAAAGCTCAGAGAACATTCTCCATTAGAGCATCCGGAAGGGGCTGGTCTGGCTTCCTCAGCCACAGGTCTTACCAGTTGCTACCAATAAGGAATCATTTTGTGAAGTCTCCTGAATTTGAAACCCTCTGCCACTTTGAATCTGGCTTTTAAGCGTCCTTTTGTAAGGCCTGCCAAGAGCAAACTGGTGTTTAGAGAGCCAGTGTTTCATTTGCAATTGAAAGAGACAGCCCTGTCATTGAATGTGGTCTTTAAAGGGAAGGGAAAAGTGAAAGGAAAGGGCAAAAGTTGGAGAGGAAGACACTCAAGGAAGAGTCCCTTTAGCTGTGCCTAGATATTGTGAATGGCTTTATTCTTAGATTGTTACTGTTTCTTAAATGCTCCCCTTGGTGCCTGTCATGGACCACTTGGCTTATGATTGTGGGTGGCTGGGAGTAGAAGTTGTAAACCAGGTCACTTAAACTCAGAATTTAGCCAGTGGCTCTTTCACATTTGTAAGCAAGAATATTGCTAGCCTTCCCGCAGAGCTAGCATGAGGACTGACCTTTTATGGATCACAGGAAGGAAGCCCAGCTTCTCAAAAGAGAAGTCAGACTAGTTTTGCCGTGAAAGACTTCGCCAACAAAACTCTGCGCAGAGGCAGGAATACTCAATGCAGGAGAAAGCAGAGCATGTGCCAATGATAGAAACACAAGGAACTTAAAGGTAGGAGAGGGGTTTATGGGATGGTTAGATTTGGGGTGGGGAGGAGTGTAAGAAGACAGAATAAGGAAATCAAAGTATAGAGAGAATGTGTCACACTCTATCCTGTATCGTGTTGGTTCTCTCCAAATGTGTACCTAAGAAGGGTGGAGGGTGGAGGCTTTCCAACATCTTTGAAGATTGTATATTTTTAAGGTTAACCATCATAAAAGGATCTAAGCAGAAAGGGGGCAGTAAGACATGCAGAGGAGTTTCTCTCAGGAATGCACTTTTTTAAAAAGCAGTTTAATCATCACCGACCAGAGAAGCAGGTGACTCTAATTACCCGGAGTGTTAGAACTTATTTTTTAACTGAGGTGGTGCATTTAGGTAATGTGCATATGAAGAGCTGTGAACTAAGGAGTAGGCGGAGGGTGGAGACCTGAGGAGGGTGACGGCCAGCTTCACCTGCTGGGCCTCAAGATCTTTGCCTCCAAAAGCTTTGAGCTTCTTTCCAGCTAGAAGCCACACCAACTGGATTTATGTCCTGATACATATACTTAACAGTTGTGCCATCACGGGTGGTTATTTCAACTCTCTTGAGCTTAATTTCCTACTCTTGGAAGAAAGATAACAAAGTTATGCTTTACAGGAATGGGTGGGACAGATCGAAAAAGAATGCATAGTGACTGCCACAAGGTGAATACTAAAGTAAATGAGAGTTATTATCTGTCTAATGAGGGATTGAATCACTTTTGTGATCCCTTCTAGCACCTAGAAGTTTCTCATTCCATAGATCATTATTCATGATTTGAAATTTTTGAATATGTGCATATTCACTATAATTATATAGCACATATGTATTTCTTCATATCTTCAGTAGGGTTGTCTTCCTTTTGTCATTTTTGTCAGCTTTTTTCCAGAAGAGAAGAAGAACAGAATCACATGGCCACATTATAACAATTTGCCACTAGCGATACTATTTCCCTAATGGGGACTTTCCAGAATACTTCCATTGGGTGTTTGCACCTTCCCAAATGATCCAAGATAAAGAGCCTACTATGTCTCTTGAAATGTGACTTTACAATCCAATTATCTTGATTGTTGGGAATCTTCTTCTTTTCTAGTTAAATTTACTTTAATTTCAACTTGTGCCATGGTAAATAATTCACTATTTTCTCTGGTCTGGTGGATGTACATATAGCAAACACGCCTTCATTCCTCTTTCTCTCTCTGCCTGTTTCTATGTATGTAACTAGTGCAGTGTTTGCTATGGCCCCTTGCCACCAAAAATGTGTGAATTAACTAGATGCAACAAACACAAGTAAAACACTCAAGTAAAATATTTGAATGCTAAGCTTTAGGGAATAGGAAACATATAATGATAAAAGTGAAAGATATGAGGAAATAATTTAAAAGGACAAGGTTTACCCAGGTATCAGTAAAGCCTCAATATATGCACCTATATCCACATTTATATAAGATGCTCTGAGGCCCTGAAAGATGTGGGCAAAAAACATTATAAATAAATAAACATTGTAAATAAATAAAACATATTTATTCTACAATGCCTTCCAATATTGGAGGGAGGCTAACATAGTTTGGAAATGATGTTTAAAATCAGAATAGATGTTAAAGCACTTTGTTGTTTTGATTTTCTGTCTGATTTCCAGTTAACCAAAAGGATTTTTTTCCTAAATACTTTGTTTTTACCATTTTGGTAGCTGAATCAATTAGGATTCTTCTGATTCCAATGACAACTTAAAGGGGAATAAAAAATGAGAGAAATTATGATTTCGTGTAATTAGAAGTTGAGAGACAGGGTTCAGGTTTGGTGGAGTGAATGATTCAATAATGCTATCAAAGACTAAGGTTTTTTTCCATCTTCCTGTGTTAGTTAAATCTCTGACTGGTTGTTCAATGGCTGAGGCAGTTCAAGGGATCTCATCCCATAGAAGGTGATGCCAAGAAGAAAAAGGGAGATTAACTTTCTGAACAGCAAGTAGGTTTTCACAGAAACCTCCTGAAGCCTCATTGCCCCGAGTTGAATTGTATTCCTGTTTCTGAACTAGTGTCTGGTGAGGGACACAGAACAACCTTAAAACCAGTCAAACTCAGACCTGAGTTTGTGTCTGAGTGGGAGAGGGGCGAGTCATGCAACAATACTCTAGATGGGTCAAGAGAAAAATAATTAGAGTAGGTATACTGGATGGACATCTGACATTGTCTGACATAATAGGATTCTTTTCATTTTAACTCAATATCCTCACTGAAACCATAAACATAAATAATGCTTTGCATATTCCAAACCAATATCCTTGGAGTTTAGAGGCCCTAGTTATTTGGGAGTATTCTGGTTTGTAAAATATCTGGTAATGTTCTTTTTCTTGTCATTTTTTTGTGTTTATTTATTGCTTTTTTCCATTTTCTTTTCTCTCCCTTTTTCTTTTCTAACAAAAATCCACATGCCCAGCTAAAATCACTTACTTCCCAGACTGTGTTGCCTCTAGGTGGCCATGGTGTTAGAGTTCCTGCCAGTGAGACTCTGAGAATTTGCCACAGGATTTGGGCAAAGCTATTGCTTTCCTTACACAAGCCCCATCTCTTCTAGCTCCTTTTATATCTGTAAACTCTCCCCAGTTTATGATGTAATTGTTTTAAATATTTCCTCTACATACACTTAGAACCATATCAGATAATGCCATAATTTTTCTTTCAACTATCAAACATATTTTAGAAAAATCAAAGATTTGAACAAAAGTCTAATGTATTTATTCATATTTTTGCTGACCATGTTCTTCCTTCCTCATGTTCCAAGTTTAAATTTTTGCATTGTTTCCTTTTCAGAGAACTTCATTTAGCCATTATTTTAGGTTAGGTATGACTGTGAAAAATTCTTTTACTTTTCCTTCATCTGAGAATGTCTTGATTTCCCCTCCTTCCTGAAGTATATTTTCACCAGCTAGAGGATTCTGGATTGTCAATTCTTTTCCTTAAGGACTAGGAAAATATTTTATCATTTCCTTCTGGCGTCCACAGTCTCTAATGAGAAATTGCCATTCCAGTTTTCTCCTTTTTAAGTAAGAGGAGCCATTTATTTATCTCTGGCTATTTTCAAAATTATTTTCTTCATCTTCAATCTTTAGAAGTTTAATTATATTGTATTTTGTCATGAATTTTTTTAAGGCATCTTATCAGCATCTGATCAGCTTTTAGAGTCTAGGTTTAAAGTCTCTTGCCAAATCTAGAAAGTTTTCAGCTGTTATTTCTGTGAGTACTTTTTCAGCTTTTCCTTCTTTGTTCTTCTGGTCCTTTGATGACATGAATTTCCTATATTTAGCTGTGGTCCAGTAGGTCTTATAGCTCAGTTCAATTTTTTCAGTATTTTCTCTCTTTTGTTCAAATTAAGTAATTTGTATTGTTCCCACTTTCAGTTCACTGATCTATCCTCTATCCCCTTTTCTGTTATTGGTCCCATCTGCTAAATATTTCATTTCAGTTGTTGTAGTTTTTGAAATTTCCATTTGGTTCTTCTTAATAGTTTTTATTTGTTTGCTGAGTCTTTCTAGTTTTCATTTGCTTCATGCACACTTGTGATTGCCCACTGAAGCATTTTTATCATGGCAGGTTTAAAATCTTTGATAATTCTAACACCTCTTCTCACCTGTTTGTTTTCTTTTTTTCATTTGTTGGAGATGTTGCTGGTTCTAGTATGATGAGTGATTTTCTTAATGGACATTTTCACAGTATGTTAGACTGGATCTTATTTAAACCTTCTGCTTCAGCTGACTTTCTCTGACATCACTCTGGCACGTCTGGGAAGAAGAGGATGTGGTCCCATTACCATCAAGCGGAGGTAGAAGTCCAAGCTTCCCACTCAGTTTCCACTGGCATCAGAGAGGTAGAGCTCCCCATTACTGCTGGGTGGGAGATGTGGTTTCCCACGTAGTCTCCATTGGCGCTGTGGAGGGAGGAGCTTCATTACTTGCTGGGGATGGAAGTCCCAGCTCCTGAGTTGCCTTTTTTGACCCTACCCAGCAGGATTGTGGGGTCACCCTCTTATGGCCTTGTGAGGCTAGGATCTTCCTCTCTTTGCCTTTACTGTTAGGATGGGACCACATTTCTTTTTTGATGTTTGTCTGGAGCAGAGTGGCGATTATGTAAAGTTTTCTAACTTGCTTCTCTGTTCCTGGAACTTTGGAAAGACCAAATCAACTTTCAATGGGGCTTTTTTTTTTAGAATGCATGAGAAAACTGGAGAAACTTACCACTGTACATTCCTTGGGTCTTGAAATCCCTTGGCAATCTGCATTTTTCTCACCACCCTCTTCCTCCAGTTTTCCTATTTTTATTTTATATATAGCATCCATGGTTTTAATTGTAGTTAGTGCAAGGGATAGGGTAAAGTATTTCTGCTCTATATTCCTGGAAGCAGAAGTCCCTCAAGAAAATATATTTTTAATAAGCATCCCAGGTGATTCTGAGGCAGGTGCCTATGGGCTACACTTTGAGAAACATATGTAATGAAACTGAGGCCCAGAGAGACCATCTCAAAGGCAAAGGCACAGACGTGTCTGGTAGCACAATACGTAGTCTAAACTAGGACCCATGTCTTTGGCTTCCCTTTTAATGTTCTTTCCTCCTCATAACACTAAATGAAACTGCTAAGAATACCAACATGAATTCAGGTAGCAGTTTCACTGATATTTATGGAGGCCAGATCATTTGCCTAAAGGTAAAACATGGTCTTAAAGTAGAGGCAGAATTGTTCTAATTCATTTGCTTCCCACAAACTGCAATGCAATATCTATCTACTGAGGAGGATTCCAAGCAATTGCTCCAAGATAGGTCATTGTATGCACTTGAAAGAATTGTTCTTGGAAATATAATTCTGTGCAGTCTGTTGAGGGTGCTGCACATAGCCTGAGTAGTCTGACTCATACACAGTGAAGCTTTTCCAGTTATGTTAATACTCGTTTGGCAGCTGCCTCTATAATTGTCTAAGTCACTTAGTAGACATGAAG